GGACTCGTGCCGTCCGTCGATGTAAAGTGTCTGGGACCCGCGACCTCCGGCGGGTCGGCCCGCACCCCCAAGGCTCCATGGTGGCGGCGGCCGCGGTGCGCCGAGGGGACGACGCCAGCAGCTCGCGCGCCTAGCAGGGCCATGCACCTCCTCTCGGACAGCAGCGCAAGTGAGTATATATAGCAAAGGAGAAAGAGTTAGTTACGTTTCTGGTCAGAATGTCCATCGCCGTGGTTGGCGCCGCAACGTCCGCCGGTTTGTAAACAACCTCTCCGTGTGTTGACCGGGGCCCGGCCAACGCGCCTGCAGACCAGGCCGCCCTCGCGACTTTGGAGTCGACTGAGCTGCCCACCCGTCGGGCGCTGCGCTAGGCCCGCGATAAGCAACACACCTCCTCTCCGGACTACTCGTCAGCGGCTTTATTTAGCCTAGGTTTGCTTTTTAGCGCCCCTCTGTGGTAGAGGTGCCGTCTAAGGTCAACGCCCCGGCCACGCTTGGTACACACACACAACCCCGTGCCGCTGTCTTACTGAGTTGTTGTTGATGTTGTTGTTGTATTTTTGCTGGGTCAGTGTGTGAGTGTGTGTGTCCGCCCGTGGACCCGGTGGCCGGCGCGACTCATCCTCTTATCTATGCCGTCGACCCCAGACAAACTAAATTTACACGTCTCACGTCGTCGGCAACATTTACACAAATTTGCCACAGAAGGGTGGAGGGCGGAGTGACAGTGACGCAACAAAATTTGCCGCCAACAGTCTCCAGTTTCAACGAAAATTTCCAAGTGACTTGAGTTGTAGTTAAAAGTATAATAACTCCACCAAATTTCCGTGGAACTGGTGTTGCAGTTGGCATGACAGCCGGCATGACGTTCGTGGGGGTTCGCGGCTTAGAAGGGGTTAGGGGGTGAAGGGGACTGAATTCGATTCGGCTCATGGAGTCCAGGGAAATAGCTTCCGGGAAAATTCAAAAGGTCACTAGTTTCAATTATTTACTATAAAATCGCTTTTTCTGTTTAACATCCCGCTCCACTGTGTCCACTATTGTCTTTCACGGTGGAGTGTGGAAAATGATCGCGGTCGGCACGCTGCCGAGGCGATAGGCACCGCCGCGCTTCTGTCAAAATATTTGAGGAGCACACGTCAAGTCAAACATGGTCGCGCGAGTCAGGGGGGCTCATAGCGTAAAACTGGGTCTGACACGGGGCCCCGAGCTGCACCGCGGCCCGGGCGGCCAGCTACGGGGCCTGCAGGGGGGCCTGCCGGTGCAGCGCAGCCGATGGGAAACAAGCGTATCGAATATCTGATCACGAGCTCGGGTGGGCAGCCCAGACGGCTAGCCCGCGAGCTCGGCTGTGCCGCGAAGTGTGCGGAGCTTACCTGGTTAGAGGAGGGGACAAGTCGGCCTGTAGCATCACCCCTTTCCATAAATACGGGGGTTGCCGTACCGGGGTCTTGAGCTTCAGGGAGAGAAAGGAGTACAGCTCGTAGGGCGACAGAACTTGCCCTGCTTGGGGGTTTATTCCACCAACCACCTGAAAGGTAGGCAATTTGCACCACAAACCCTTGTAAGTAGGCAACCGACAGTGCATCGCCCCCTGTCAGCCGGACCTTATCCGCCCCTGGTACCACCTCGAGTATCGCCGAGTATCAGGCAGGTGTCACACCAACCTCTATTCACCACACCAACCACACCACACCTCTGTAAGTGGTACTAAACTTTAAGTGTGATACCTGTGATACGTATGGCATTGCACTTGTGATTATTGGACAGTATAACACCTGAGTTTCCAGAGTACTCCAAGTCTCTGTATCAACCTTACTGAATGGTTTAGTTCCTTTTTGATAACGTACGTGCGCATGCAGATATTACTATGGCGTCATATTTTTGATTAAACCAACTGTCTGCAGATAAAATTTCACCAATTGATTCTCATATCCAAGTCATCAAAGTACTGATTTGTTGATTCTGACTGCCGGCGAAAAGGGTCGTGTATCACGCGACAGCCCCGTGACTGATTCAACTGAAAGCGCAACGGCTCAAACCCACTTCAATAATGGTTCGTGACGTAACTGCGGGCCCTAGAGGAGGGGGGCGTTGAAATATCGCGTGCACGCTCCTTTAGACGGTGACCCCAACAGGAACTACACACACAGGGTACACCCCTGCTCTAGAAACTCGTACAGTCTCACACTTTGAAGGGTAGTTACCATCGTGCCCTCCCGAGGGGTCGATACCACTCAGAGTTTTGGTATACATGGAAAATCTGGAATATTTTTTTGAACATTTTTCAGTAGATACATGGAATATCCAAGTAGTCCACCCGTCGTGTCCTCATAAGTTACAAGGTGTCGGACCAAGGTGTAAGACAACTAAAAACAGGACACCAAGTTGTACTGCTACACTTACACATCGACCAGGACAAGACAAGAGGTGTCTGATACCTGGGCTAGCTGCCATGGCACCTTGAGGCGTCGGACATCCTTTATCCTACACTACAAATGTGCATACAAGCATCAAGGAGTCCCTACGAGTTCCCGTCGTGGTCCTGGTGCCCGAGGGGGCAGCAACTTCTAGTAATCACGGTTCACGAGGGAATTAATACCTTCAGTATTCAGGCGATATTCATTGATTATTTAGTGATATTCACTATTGAAGTGCATTCAAAGTGCACGAAGGTTTTGAGTTGGTGCCTGCTCGCTGGAGCCCTTCCCTCCTGATGAACGCCCTGCTCGTTTGCTTGCAGGCTGGTCGCGGCGCCAGTACTGGCAGGCGCTGGTGCTGCTGGCCGCGGGGCTGTCGCTGCTGCTCGGCGGGCTCGTGTTCCTGGCCGCCGCCCTCGCCTCGCGCGCCGGCCGGCTCGGCTGCTGCACGCCCGCCACCGCGGGGGCGGCCGCCGCCACCGTCAGCTCCACGGCCCTCGTCGTCATCCTCCTGTGCACGCGGGCGGGGGACGTGCCGCAGTACGCGTGACCGCTGCCCAGGTCGTCGCTGCTGGCCTCTGCGGCCGGGCCCGGGCCGGACCGGAAGCCCGATCATGGGGCTCTAATTACAGAAGTGACTGTGTTTCAAAGCTGAATGACTCTCTCCAAGTTACCATGCGCTCTGTCGTAAACGCGTTTGTCCTTTCGGGGCACTTTTAAATTGTATTTCTTTATTATCTTGAACAACACTGTACATAATTTCCTTTAACTATTTGTAAGAAATAAATGTTTTTAAATAATTTGTCGCGGAATTCCGACTGTTGGTTACACACACCTGGTACCCAGAGTGCCATAGATTGTCACCTTTGCATCGAACCCACTTCTTCCCGCTGGTTCCTTTTCACAGTGCAGGTCCGCGAAATGCAGCACACCACCACCACCACACGCCTTGTGTGTGTATGACGGCCGGCTTGGCAAGCCGCCCCTCCCCGAGGCCGGTCACTCCGTAAGCCTAAGGTGGGCAAGTCCGGCCCCGCCACGCCCCGCCCCGCCACGCGCCGCCACGCCCCGCCGTCCGGCCACTGCGCCCGCGGCACCGCGCGCCGCGCCGCCCGGCCCCCGCCAGCCGGCAGCGTCAGTCCGTGTGCGGCGTTCGCACGAGAGTCACACACGGCGCGGGAGAGCGCATAGGACCGCCGAGACCACCTGGGACTTCCCCTGCTCGCGCGCTACGCACGGTCCGGTGGTGTCGTCGCCCTCTTCTTCGCGGAAGCGGAGCGCGAGGAGTGTTGCGCGGGAGTTAGAGACGGGGACAAAACGTCCTCACGCGTACCGAACTGGCAGCGCGACGCGGTGTGGTTCCTTGTCGTGATCCAGGTCAGTTTTTCATGACGTCACTTGCCCGATTCTCTCCGCCCAACGACACAAGAAGTCAGGATGGTGTATTCCATAAGTGGCAGCGTGCGTGTGCACTGCTGCATCTCATTTGACACGAGTTCCCCAGTGAGACGCATTCGACGTAGAGGTCGAATTTAACTGGTGGCTGATGAACTCCGCGCACCTCATGCTGTACCGCATTCCTACGTGCGGGTGGGTTGCTTTTGCTTACTTGCTCGGCCTGTAAGGCGCCGTGGACGGGGTTGATGTTGATAGGCAAGCCCACCAGCATTCGTGCGTGCGTTACAGTAACTACAGGATTGCGCGGGGTTACTCATCCACCTGGTAAGTCCATTTAGATGATAATTGTCCAAAAATCTGAGCCAGTATGCGCCGTCCAACCGACGTTCATTCGACGTCGACGTTTATCACTGCGTTCTAGCTACGAAGTTATTGGCATGGTGTCTGACATCATTATTGAGACGTGTTGACTCTTTGTGCTTCGCTGGTCGCGCCTCGCTGCCGAGTGACAGCCCGACCTGGTGGATGGGTGCCGCCAGGCCAGGCCTCGAGCTCGAGGGTAAGACGAGATATAGATAATCGATCGAGTGTAACCACAAAGGCGCGAGGCGCAAGTCTTTGGCCTGCTATATAGACTGCTGGAGGACGGGTTGACGGCGAAGACGGCCGTGGCCCACAGCCGCAGCCCCGGCACCCGGCATGGCCCCGCCGCCGGACGAGCACGCCGATGGACGACCGACCGGTTCCATGCCGCCGCAATGCCCCATCCGGGCCACACGGCGGCGTATCTTCTTTCCGGGCACCGCTATTATTGTCCGCATCATAAGCGACCCACTTGTTTCTTTGCCTGCCGCTGCCGTTTGATGCCAACAAAAACGTTCATTCCTGTTTCCGGCGGCGCGCACCCTTTCACCGGTGGGACCGGGAGGCAAGGTCATGAAGAGGACGACGGATTTGCGGCGGCGGATGACAGTGAACGTGAGCGAGGACGCGCGAGAGAGGACTCCGCATGTGGCGTGCGCGGGGCGTTTTTGCGCCCGAGATCAGCACCACAGATTCGCCGCACAGGATGAGCAGTATCATAACGCTCTCATTCGCGCCAAACGTGGGCGGAGAGGGTTTTCCCCGGCCCAGCAGCAGCAGCAGCCAGTTGCCATGACAACGTGATAATGGAGCCGCTGGAGCCGCTGGAGCGTGCCGGGAGGAGACCGGTTGTTGTTGGTTGAAATCATTGGTTGTCTCGCTGCTATAGTTTGGTTGGAAGCTGACTACACCCTTGTATAGCAAGGCAGAATGAAAAAAAAAAGAAAGACCCAAACAGGTGCAGCTGAAGTCGTTGACGATGCGACAAACTCTGGTGGAGAGGTAGATTGCGCGTTGGTCGAGTCAAGAGACTAGGTTGTTTCAATGGCTGGCGACCGCACGCACACCAACACACTACTCCCAGGAAAACAGGAATATGCCTCGTCTGCAAGATAGTATAAAAGGGGATAAAGCGCTTGTAAAGCCGCGACCGCGTCGCGTGCATTCGTGTTTGTGGCTGATTAGCCAAGAGCTGGCGGCTGACGGGCTCGGGGGGAAGGGAAAGGGAGGGGGGGGGGGACTTCGGTGACGACGACATCGTGCTGAGTCGGAGCTTGCACTGGAGAGTACAATCATCATCATTTCAAAGTAAGAGAGGGCCTCGATCTTCTCGCACCTCTTAGCCTCCGCAGTCCGGCAGTCATGGGGTTGCCGCCGTTATACAGGGTGGTGCACAGACCCCTTCCTTTATTTTGCTTATGTACTGTACCGGATGCAGGCGAGCGGGTGGGTTGCACACTCGCCTTAAGGCGCCGTGCTGAGAAACGGTAGGCAAGCCCGCACGCACGCCTGCATGCGGTACAGTAGGAGGAGGAAAATAAAGAAAGGGGCTTGTGGACCACCCTGTATCATGGTTTCTTAGGTCAAAAAAATCATGATGATGTTGTACATTTGATAGCGTACAATAAGCATGCAGATATTCCTATTCAGACCATGATGTCACGTTAATGATGAAACCAATTATCTGCAGATATGAAATGTCACTAATCACTAATCGATCTCTTATATCAAAGACCGTGAGTCAAG